GAGCTGCGAGACTTAACGTCAAAACACCCATGGTACGCACAATATACACACACACACACACACACACACTAGTTTTGTTACGTTTCGTCCGAGCTTTATTTCAATATATATTGTGAAACAGGAACTTGTTGGCTGTGTCTGCCGACGAAGGTCAGTTTCTGAACTTGTTGCTGAAACTCATCAATGCTAAGAACACCATTGAAATAGGCGTCTTCACTGGTTACTCTCTGCTCGCCACAGCCCTTGCTCTTCCAGAAGATGGAAAGGTCCTTTACGTTATTTACAAGTTACTGTACTATGATTGTCCCTTTCCTTAATTACAGCAACCAATGGTCTCAGTATGTCTGTTTCATACATTTCATGTGTCACTTTCAGATATTGGCCATGGACGTCAACCGAGCAGATTATGAGTTGGGGTTGCCTGTCATTGAAAAAGCAGGCGTTGCTCACAAGATTGACTTCAGGGAAGGACCTGCTCTTCCTGTTCTGGACCAGTTGCTCACAGATGTAAATATATCTTATATTAATATCACTTGCTCATATTAATACAACGTCTCGTGCATGTACTTACTTAATTATCTCGTGATGATCATTAATTATTTTGCAGGAAAAGAATAAAGGAGCGTTCGATTTCATTTTTGTGGATGCGGATAAAGACAATTACTTGAACTACCATAAGAGGGCGATTGAACTGGTCAAGGTTGGGGGATTGATCGGCTACGACAACACTCTGTGGAACGGATCTGTTGCGGACCCACCGGAGATGCCTCAATTGGATTACATAAAGTACTATCGTGGTTTTGTGTTGGAGCTGAACAAGGCCTTGTCCCATGACTCGAGCATTGAGATCTGTCAACTTCCTATTGGTGATGGCATTACCCTGTGCCGCCGCATCATCTGATCACCACAACACTTCGATCGTTAATCTGCCCCGCCCTATAATTAATTAGCTTCATTATCTTGTGTCTACTCTCCAACATGAAACAAGAATAATAATACAGTGGGAAAATAGTTAATGTGGTTTCGTGTATATTTTTCCTGGTCATTGTTCTATTCATCAATCAGATTGATTTCCTTCTGTTTGTTTTCGGTATCGCAACGCTCCCAATTCGTTCGAGTGTTCGACAAAGCTGATGAAGCACAAATTTTTTTCTCTCCTCAAAATGGGCTTAATTTGAATGTCTAATTAATGTAATTTTTGGTCCAGTGCAACACTTTACAATAATTTTAAAAACAAACAAAAATTAAAAAGGGCCTACTGATTGTGATATAATTGTGAGAGGATAGAAAAAGAATGCAGCAAATTAAAGTTGTATTAGCAGACATTAGAAATCTAAAACTGACATACTTTGATCCGGAATAAAGAAAAAAGTAAATGATGAAATGAAATGAGAAATTAAAGGAGATAGAGTTAAAGTTTTCTTCTATGGTGAGCAAACTTTTTGGAATGAATTAAATAATAAATTAGAATATATTTATTTGGTGGTGGAATCTTGACATCATTTTCCCAACCCGGATGATTAATTTTACCTACCACGGGCAGGCCGGGATATGTACAATAATGTACAGATTAAATCAATGCATTTTTCCTGAAAGAGACAAAGATCATAATCATATTTGCTCGGACCCATCCACCATAGAATTTTGAATTGGATTTTTGCCACACGGTGGCTCGTTAAAACACTTACGTTTTACGAACATTGTTCAAGTGATCAATACGCTCTAAAGAACCCAATTTTACGAGAGCTCATTTGGTTCGTTCCTTTTGGGCATGTTAATAAATTAATTTGTACTGGTAATATAGTTAATTAATAACACGCTTCTCATCAAGATGATGATAGGACCTAATAAGTACAAACAAGTAATCGGGTATTATATTTTTCCGGCCTGATGAAGTAATTGTTACAATAATAACATACTTAATTACTTATTAACATCTGGATCAGACATGTCCAAACCACGGTGAAAATGAGATGCTGATTAATTGGATGATAATACCCAACCATAACTCGAATAGGATTACACATGTGCTTAATATAGCTTAGTTAACCACTAGAGAAGTCTGGTTTTATTGCTTTTTACTCCGATAGATCTCTGACAATGAAGGTCAATGAGGTGGTTTAAAGAGGATATATTTGGTGATCTATTGGCTCATCAACCAGAAAGGATCGGATTACATTAAAAACAAAATGGAGTTGTTCATGGGTTTAGTTATTTCTATTTAATTCTATATAATAACGACATGTCTTTTTGGTTATAAACAACTCTGTTCTGGAGACACACTGTCAAAATTTCGTTGGAATGTCACAATCAATAACCCACTTTTAACTATTATTTTGCCGTGTTGACATATTACTTTAAATTTAATTGCAGTGGGTGCCAGTGAAAAGATACCCAGTAATTTGACCACGTCCCTATCTAATTCGCTGATTCTCCATTTACTTCTCATATTTAAGCACAGTCACATAAATCCATTCTTGACTTGATTATTTCATAACAATAAATAATAATCTTAAAGGACTATAAAATGCAAGTGCTATAAAAAAAAAAATCTAACATGATGGAAGCTTAATTAACAGTGTAACACATTTTCAATGATGAAGCAATTGTTTGTTTTGATGTTGGAGCTGATACTTGATATATTATTTTTCATTTTTTATGAGATGTTTTTATTTAAATTAAATTTAATACATGTCTTCAGATTGAAACAAAAATTTAATGCCAAGAAGAATCAGCCTCAAAAAAAATAGTAACTATCTCTATTAATAATAACTTTTAAAGGCAACTATGACAATAATCCTTAGACGCTAACACAATTGCTGGGATAAAAATTAACGTAAAAATTTCAGAGAATACATGATCATACAATAACTATTTCAACAATGCAGAGAATACATAGTACAGTATCCAACATAAAAAGAACAAGCAGAAGGGCAAGGAAAACACCAACAACATAATAAAACCAATAAACGTAACGTTAAACAGACAACAATTATACCAAACCATAAAAATCTTGCACTGAAGAAGTAACAATACCCATTGACATTATCTTTAAGAAGAAGTGCGTAACGTAAATAGGAGGGGGGTGATGACGCCCAATTCTTTTAGGTTGCATTTAAATTGGTAGATTTAAGTTAAAAATGTAGATTTAAAATTTCGTATTTGAAATCTCACATTGTTTATATGATATAAAAAATTTTAAATTATAATATTAAAATCTTTTATTTGAATTTAAAGTAAAATTTTAAATTTTAAATTCTATATTTAAATTTAAAAAAAACTTGAACGACGGCGACAGTTCATTTTTAGTCAAAGTCGATGGTCTGCATGGCAAACTTTTACTGAGATTAAACCAACAGTGATGATCGGGATAGGATGGGCGACTTTCATCGGGATCGGACCGACAATGATGATAAGGACCTTATGTTCGACTTCTATCAAGATAGGGCCGACAGGAACCAAATGGTTGACTTCCATCAAGATCAAGCAAAAGGCGACAATAGAGACATGATGGTAGACTTTCATTGGGATTGACCCGATGGCAATAACTGTGACTAGACGATCAACTTCCACCATAAAGCTGTCGAGTCCTGGTGGAAGGTGGCCATCCAATCCTGGTGGAAGCCGGTCGTCAAGTCCCAATAGTTGTCATCTGTTTGGTCTTAATGAAAGTCAACCGTTCAATTTCGATTGTTGCCGATGGTGCAATCACAATAGAAGTTAGCCATCCAATCCTAGTCATCATAGTTGATCCAATCCTAGTGAAAGTCAAATGTTTGGTCCCTGTTGTCATCATAGGTTTGATCTCAAAAAAATTCAACCATCCATTCTCAGTCATCATCATTTGTCATGTCCCCATGGTAGTTGGTAGTTCGATCTTGGCCAACAATGACAACTTGGTTTCGTCAACTTCGACGGTCTAGTTCAATTATCATTAATAGGCCAATTAAGCTTTTATAAATTTTGGTCAAATTATAAAAAAAATTGAATTAGGATTTAAAATAATAAAAATTTAGAAAGCATTTTAAATTACAACAACATGCAAAATGATCAATCGTTTTATAGATTTTGAGGATTATGCGCAAGAAACCCAATACTGTTTCACCATGTAGAGCCCAATATATCCTGTAGCTGTTGATCCACTTGCCACGTGCACACCTGGGGCCTAATCAATTTGATTCTTGAAGTCCAAAAATTGAAGCCTCATGTGTCATGCGTCTGCTGAAGGATCACCATGGATCATCTTCCATATGGCTTGAAAACTCTGTCACAACTCACAAGAACATATTAGCAATATTATTCTTGACAATTAATGATTCATATGAGCAAATCTAGAACCATCACTTCCATATGGCGTAGATATTATAGGAAAACTAAGACACGACGCCCATAGAATTAAACTCAATGTTTTGTTCTGCATCTCTTCTCATCAGAGACAATTTTAAGAAATATGAAACTAAACTATTGCTAATATCTTTTAAGCTATTGTCGTAACGTAATTCATTGGGGAAAAAAAAGTTACCAGATTTGAAAAATTAAATTGTATACTCCTCCGTTAAAAAATATAAGATACTTTTAAGTTTTAATTGAATCTTATCCTCCAATAAAAATAATTATTTATCTTCAAACTAATATTATCTTTTTATATATACTTCTATTTAATAGGGTGTTTTATTCTAAAATATATATCAAGTGATTTATTTATTAAGAACACTTTAAAAAAAAGATAATGATTATAACTTAAAGTATTACAAGTTTATTACATTTTAATTTATTATATTTTTTAATATCAAACTTCTACAAATCTCTCAAAAAAATGTATTACGCTTTTCAAGGGAGGGAGTATATTATTAAAAAAATACAAACGTAATTTTTAAGGACATTTCATTTTTAAATTAGTTTAACCAAGAATTGGGGCGCAACCAGCCAGGAATATTGGCCCAATTAGCCCAACAAGAAATAAGGATGCAAATGGGCCAAACAAGTTTAAACTAGGACTGGAGGGGTACACCAGGCTCAAGCAGAAGTTGCGAAGCATGGGCGACGCTCAAGGATCCCAATAGCAAGCTATTATAGCGGGCCCTACCCCTAGAAAAATTAATTTAATATCATGTGGGCCCATGGCCCACTATCAGATATTAAACTGATAAGAACAGATACTACATTTGATCTTAGCCAAAAGGCCGACTGGCCGAGAAAGGTATGCCCTGGGAATAGCCTTCGCTTGAATTTCATATATGTTTGTGTGTCCACCGTGTTCAGTTCTACTCGAGGTGGGACTCCATATGCACAGCTTCTTTTTTTTTTTTTTTTTTTTGGCCAGTATATACACAGCATGAGAATGAAGATTTATACTGGAAATAAGAATTGGAATTCGTTGCCACTTGATTCATAATAGATTTATAAGTCAAAAATTTGTCACCTTGCTTTTTATAGTTTGATTGTACAGAAATTTTTAGATTTCCTTTACACTTGAGCTAGAATGATTCCCCTTTCATATGACCTCAAATCGAATTTATAATACATACATATAATACTGTCAATTTACTTATTTTCCTTTTCAATGAGAAATTCAAAGTTGATGCGAAATTGATGAAGATATAATTTTTCTTTCTTTTTTTTTTGTCAAAGATGAAGATATAGTTACAAATTATAAACTACTTGAATAAGAACAAGAGAAAAGTGTAGAAAGGATAAATATGCTCATTCATTTTGAAAGTTGAGGCATTTAATACATGCTTTTTGTTGATCGACTTCTAACCATTTTAAAATTCCAGATGGTCAATAAAAAAATTCCTCTACTTGATTAGTTACAGACACTTTTTGATAAGCATTTGCCATATACAGACTAACCCAAAATTAATTTACATGTTTATATACCTCGTGGAGCCACAAGATAAACATTAGAAAACCATTCATTTGAAAGTTAGAAAATAAGGAGAATGACAATAAAGTCCCCAAAAAATAAATTAAAGACATTTAAGTCCTCAATAAATAGGAATCTAAATTTCAAACTAATTTTTATATTTAAAATTTAAATAACATATTTGCAATTGAAACTTTTAAATTTATAACTATGTGAATTAATATTTATAATTAATTTTTTAAAAAAATTTGTCAAGGTTTGGAACTTAACTGTCATTCCCCCTGAAGAATATAGTAATGTCATTAAACATGAAAATAAATCTTACAAATTTTATTTTTGGAGGTCATGAATAATCACATAATATTATAATATTCCAAACTCCTTTTGTTCATCAATGTCATATGTCGTGCCTTATTAAAATTTTGCTCACAAAAACTAATGAGATGTAATAAAAAAAAAGAGTACACAATTTTTTTACACTAAGAAAACATAATATTTACATTATTTAAAACCTTTCCGTAAATATTTGAATATGATTTATAATTTTAAAGATTATCTATACCTCAGTCAACATTTAAATAATTTGCATGTCACTCTCCTATTGGAAAAATTAAAATTCAACTACTAGCATAAGATAATGCCTACAAAATTTCAAGATATTTTATTTATGTTATCTTAATACATCAATTTTTTATTTTGATTTATTTATTTCATGTTATTTTACTTTCTTTTTAGAGAAAATGACAACTAAATCCTTTGACAAATGATAAAGTAATATCACGAAATGGGATAATTAGGCTTAAGTCCCTATAACTTACCTGTCATTAATTTTTTAGATAATTACGTTTATGAAAATAATAGAAAGCGTTGTGGCTGTTAAAACTTAAAATAAAATTATTAATAATAAAGATAAAATTATTAATATAAAAAACATAGCTGTTATTGTATAATTAAATTGAAATTATGATCAATTATATTGTTAATATTTAATGTTATTTACCAAGTTGAAGTTATTAATATAGAAAACATGCTTATTATTGCATTTTATGATACTTATTTATCATTGCAATGGAATTTTTTTGTCATTTTCTTTTTTTATATTATTCCAGGGTCATTTAACCATTCTAATGAATTGAAAAATCTATGATTCTGTATTTCCGACTTACCGTGTCCGCAATCTGAATCTCCGTAAAACTAAAACTAAAACAGCAATGCTAAAGCCAAATATGGCCATCTGTTTTAAATTTTAGTAAGTAAAAAAAGAAAGTACAAGAAAAATGTGACACGATAAAGTTGGAAGAAAACGTGGCAATAAGAAAGGCTGCGTAAAACGATGACGAAACATGAGAACACACTTTTTCCCCCTTTTCCTTCGGTATCAAGGACAACCCACACGAACCCATTTGATTTCAATTCCCAGAAGATTCCTGATTCTCCTCCCTCCTTTGAGCTCAGAAGATTCAGGGCAATGGAATAGAGGCCAAGATTGATCGCTTACCCATTGACTTGTTGGCTCATTTTTTTTGGTTTCTTCTCTTCCTTCACTGATTTGGCCCAGTAAGTTGGCTCTATCGTTCCTTCTTCTTGCCTGTATGCTTATTTGTCGTGTTCTTCGTTTTTTCCTGTCA